CCGAAGCCGCAATCGAACTCCCCCGCATTGCCGAAACTCGAAGAAAACGAAGAAGAAGAAGAAGAAGAAGAATTCATTCGGGAGTGGTCGGTTTGAGGAAATGCAGTGAAGTCGGGGCTAGAGTTAGGGTTGGGGGAAGTGGAGGAGGGTTTAGCCTTGGAAGAGAAGGTATCCGGTGATCGGATTTCGACGGCGGCGGGCGACATTTTTGGTTTCTCAGATTTTACTTTGATAAGAAAACTTTAAGAAACAATCCTGTGGCAGGCAGGGTTTGACGTAGTTACGAAGTAAGGGTGTGCACTTGGATTGCCGGCTTATGGACGTGCTGGAATTTGGTGTAATTTTCAAACTTTCGAAAGTCTTCCATCAACTACTGTTTAATTAAATTTGTACAATTCCCAAAACTGTAATTTGCTTCGCTCAAAAGTCCATAATTGTAAGTTAAAAGTTTAGATACATTAGTTTGTTGCCCTTGCGGTGCATTAATGGCGATAAATTTTTTTTTAATTGAATGGAGAATACTTTATAAAATAAATATAGAAAATATTATTTTATAAAATATATAACTGTAGTTATTATAATTTGGTATTTGTGATGATGCTTCCATACAAAAACGCATCTATAATCAGCTCATGATAAAATAAAATTTTTAATAAAATCTCTCATGACAAAATATGTAGTAACTCATTCTTTTTTAAAATTCTATCTTTTAATTCAATTTCTGCATCATTTTACATTAATTACATTTAATATTTAAAAAATAAAATATACAATAACTCAATCTCTCTCAAAACCTTATTTAATATACACCTAAATAATGAAATTAAAAAATTATCTTTTTTAAAAAATTTAAAATATCATTTGCAAGAGAAAAAAAATCTAATCCAAACCTAATTCCAGACATCAAACTCATACTCAAAAACCAAACCAAAATCCAATCTTATTAAACCTCAAGCCCATTATACCTTAAGCTCACATCCCAACAACTACGTGTTAAACCATGAATCCTATTAACTGTTAAGCCGAAAACCTTTAGACTTCCTTTAAATATAATAAACTCTTTTTAGTTATTCTTAATTTTCAATTTTCAATATGTTGTGAAAGCTTACTTGCCACATACATGTAAGTGTTTTTTTTTCTTTATAGTTAAGTTAATTTAGTGATCTAAAATGCAAGTAAGTGTTTTGTTTTTTCATAGTTAAGTTGATTTAACTATTTAAAAGTTGTTTAATCATTGCTTGTTTGTGGATGATGAAGGAAAAGAGTGTAATTGTATAAACTATATTACTTCTTTTTACTACTCAATTTTCCCTTAACTTTTTTATTTTTGTTTATGTTTATAAATTTTAGATGATAAGATTGATTTAAAATAAGTATTCCAATAATGTCAAATTTTGTGTGTATTTAAGTGAAAATATATTTTTTAGCTGTTAAATGAAGTAAAAAACTTTAAAAGCACTCACTTTGTAAATTTTATGAGATCTATTATAAAAAAAAATACTAATATGTAAGTAAGTACGCTCATGTTTTAGATTTAGTTTGATTTTTATAAATTTTTTTATATTATTAATAAATTTATGAAATGAGATTGGGATAGCAATTGACTCTTGAATTTGCACTTAGATTTAAATTGGATGTTGGAAAAGGGAAAAGAAATATGGATAGAGAAAAAGACAAAAGAGGTAAGCTGGGTTGAAGCGAGATTTGTAATTGAGGTGGTAGGGAGCGTTAAGACGACGCATAGTGGTACAGTGGCAATGGTCGATGGCGACGATGTCCCTACTCTTTCCTTACTTACCATTATGATTACATCATAGTAATTTTAATATTGGCCAGACAGACTTACTTAGATGAAGGCAAGTGTCAAGCAAGGAAGCCGACTCGGATTTTGTTTAAATATAGTTACTAGTCTGTTACCTATACGATGCGTTTAGACTGATAATTTTTTTTAATTGAGTTGAGAATTTTTTTGTGAAATAAATATATAATAGTAATCATATTATTATATTTAATTGTTCATATACATTGACATGGAGAACAAAAATATAATCTAAATCTAGTTAGACTTTAAAGCATACTCCAAAAAATTAAACCATAAACTAATCTCATTAGATCTCAAGTTTACATCTCAATAATTACGTATTAAATTAAAAACAGTTTGAGACTTTTTTTAAATATAACAAACCCTTTCTTATTATTAGTAATTTTCAACTTTCAATCTACTATAAAAGCCTTACATGAGATTATTTGTTACCTTAAATAGGGTGTTTAAAAGGAAATATATTTTTTAGTTGTTGAATGAAATAAAAAAAAGTTTAAAACACTCATTCATGTACCTTTACATGGCTGTTATAAAAAAAAATTAAGATTTAAGTAAGCAAGTTCATGTTTTAGATTTAGTTGATATTCATTTATTTGGTTATCAAGAATTCCTTTTTATATTATTAATAAATTTATAAAATGAGATTGACAAAGCAATTGACTTGGTCAAATAGTTAAACCCTAGTTGAACATCTCAAAAAATAATTAGCTCTTAAATTTGGGCTTTATAATTAATTTCCCCTAATATCCTTTGGAGCTTCTTTTAACTATAATTATAGATATTTTTTATAAGAAACACTACTGTTCAAAGTAAGACATTTGGAGTTGAGTTTTTTCTAACTATATATGTATGGTAGGAACACATTGAAAGCAATGCACGCTTCAAAAGGTGTATTTTTGAAAAAAAAATATACTCTCTTTTTTTCACTCAATTTTTTTTTCATAAAGTTTTTTTAATATGATTTTAACAAATTATATTCTTTCAAGGGAAGTATTATGAATATTTTTATAAATATCCATATATATTATATATATTTAGATTTGAATGTAGATTAAATTAGATTAAAATTGAATTTAATCTATTCATTTAATCACTTAATATTATTTTTATTTTATAAATTCTATTTAGATAAAATATTATTAATTTATAAATACGTCTCTCGTTTTATTTATAAATACATATTTAAACAAGATATTCTTATTCTTTTTAAACATTTTCTTTCTTTAAATACTTTCTCTTATAATAAGAATTTGATTGAATATAATTTAAAAATAAAAATTTATTAAAATTATTTTTAAATAATTTGGAAACGAAGATTGGGCTTTGGAAGTTGGGTGGCACTTAGCAGTAGCAGTAGAGCGCCCAAGTAATCTCAACCAGCGTTGTCCAAACGCCAGTCGTGGCAAACAGGTGGTTCCCATTATCTGTCTACACGTCCCCATAGTTTTTAAGTTGGTAGAAAGCAAACTATAAGCCAAAACCGAAGGCGGCAAGGCAAGCTACCCGGCATTCTCTCAAAGTTCTACCCTACTCTGAGTCAGGTTGCCACCTTTTCTGATTCTCATGTTTCCTTCTGGAAATTGTTATTGCTTTAATGTTTTGCTTTGACATTCAAGAATCTGTTGTTTTTATAGTTTTGAACTGTGTTTTGGGAATTTCACAGGAACTGAAGGGTTGAAGAAAATGAAATTTTCCTTTTTTTTTGTTGCCTATGCAAATGGGTATAAGCCTGGGGAGGCCAAGATTAGAAATTAGGTAACAGTTGCCTATAAACTTGTAATAGAAATTGAACATTAGTGGAAATGAACAAGGAAAGTAATTCAGCCAAAGCCTCTCTTACTGTATGAGAATGTCAGAACATTATAGTGATGTAGTTTCCCTTTATAATAATTATAAAACCATCTGCCTATTATTATTATTATTAGAATTATTATTATTAGTCCATTTTGTAACATCTATTCACTTTTTGAATTAGTCCATTTTGTAACTTTTTCCTTCTTTTAAGCAGAGGCTATTCTCCTCACTGCCCATCTTATACATTCTTTTCCCTTGTATATGTGTTTCTGAGTACTTTTCTAGTGAATTCTCTAACTCTTAATTTTTATAATTTGGTTCACTTGCCTTGTTCTTTCTTCAAAAAGTACTTATTCATTCTTCATTGCTGACCTTATTGTCATTTGTTACTATAAAATTCGATCCATTATGGTATACTTTTCATCAGTTACAGTTAACTGTTTCTGCTTCTAATTTTTATCAGCTCTTGGTAGCCAAATGATCATCCATGTTGTGAAATGGCACATTTCCTTTGCATTTACTGTCCTTGACATGCTCTAAAAGCAGTTGCTTTTGATGTGTCTCCTACTGTTCTTGACGTGTTTGTTACTTCTCCTCTTGGTTAATGATCTTCAAAGAGATCTTTATCCTACTTTGTGAAATCCATTCAGGCAAACCTTCTCATTGAGGCAATACCTAGCAGATGGTTTAGCTGTGTTGCTAGAGAAAGAGAGACAGAGAGATAAAAGGGTGGGAGAGAAGATAAATTGTACCTGATTCTTATCTGTTATTTCCAGTGCATTGTGGAATTTTAATATCAATTGCTTAAAATATTCTTTCCATGCCACGCAATTATATCAAATTATATTCATGTCATTCAAGCAATATATCTATATATTACATCATCGTTGTTCTATTAAATTTGCCCTGTGGTGCAGGAAAGAGAAGTTTAAAACACTGTACTCTCTCATATTTGCACAAATTGCAAACCAGGATGGAGCATAAATCAATTGAAGTATCACATGGTACTTTCACAATATTTACCTGAAATTCAGTTTTTCTCCTTGCCTAACTATGTTTTGCAATCCTGCACATCTATGGGAAATTTTCTACTTTGTGATTTAAAGGTTTTTCATTTCATTTAAGATTCTGTTTTAAACTAATTGCATACAAGTTTTCATAGTGCTTACTCTCATTCTTGATAAGGTTTATTGTACTTGAAGTAAAAAGTTTACTGTGGATGAGGAATTAGATCCATGACCATAGGGGGATAAACTTAACGACTTTAGGATGCTTACTCTAGCTTGCTGTCCAGCCACAATCCTTTTAAGTATTCTACTGTGTATTCTTTATGCTGCATCTTTTCTCTGGGATAGGAGTTTTGATGAAGTGGCTCAGTCTTTTTGAGGTGTCGTTGGGAGATACAAATATTCTTCTGCATGTGCTGCCATACTATAAAGGATTTGATGCAAGTGAAAGGCATTTCTAGAAACAAATTTTTATATCAACACATATGAAGAACTTTTCCTTGGGATTGAAGTTCTGATGACGTGGTTCAGTCTTTTGAGGTGTCGAAGATATAAATATTTCTCTCCATGCGCTGCCATACTGAAGGATTGGATTCAAGTAAAGGCACTTCTGTAGATCTTTATATTAACGTATACAGACAACTTCCACAACCCTGCTTGTGTTCCCCCACAGTTGTGTGCTGTCAAGAAAAAGATACATCAACATGCCAATGTATGTGTAAGTGGGATCACCGAAAATTTGGGTTGAGCTATTTCTATGATATAGAGTTATTGATGTATGATTATGTTTCCTATACTTCTAGCTAAGGCGTATTACCTCCCAATGATGGCCATCACCTTTAGTGAAAGTAATGTCATTATTGGTTTGTAGTGTCTCTGTTACCTTATCGTGGTAGTTGCTGATGGACATTATTATCTACTGAAGTTGCGTTTGCTAAATGAATAAGGACTTAAACTTTCATTTAAACGTAAGTCAATTGAAGAGAAATGTTCAACTCAAAACCAAGCTAATCAGCCTTGGAATTATATGGTTGAGTACATGCATCTACATATAAAAGCTCTGTTATTTTCGGTTTCCACCATTATTTAGTAACATAAATCAGGTTGTAAAACATTTTTGAAATTACTATTATAGAAGCATAGCATGCTATGGGTGGATGTATATTACAATTGAGTGGAAAGCATGACTTGATTGCTCTGTACTACATTTTTTTGTGGTCATGAGAATTTGTATCGACGCGTAGAAGCCCTCTTATTGTCAAGTTCTGCCATTATTACTAGCATAGACCAGCTTAGAACATTTTTGAAGTTATAGCCAAAGAGGCATAACATGCTAGCATGGATGTATACTGTGATTGAGTTGAAAAGGGCATGACTTGACTGTTCTGTCCCGTGTTTTGTTTGTAGTCAGAAGAGAGTACTTTATGGTTAATGCAATGAAATAATGTCTGGGATGATAAGACTCTCTTTCCATTTGTGTGGGGCCGCTTTTGGTTGGTTGCATAAGAGTTCGAAATTAGCATTACTATAATTTACAAAGAAATTTGAAGCAAGCCACACCATATAATTACAAGGACAGATGAAACGGCTTAGCTTTCCATAGAAAGTGTATGGGCATTCCACAGAAACGACAGGAAATATTGATACTGTTATGCATGCAGTATTGTTACAGGATTGTGATTCGTCTGGAATTCTACATGTTATTTTTAAATCATGAGCAGCTATGATATATTGCGGTGCAGCTATCATGGATGTTTTATTTGGGCTCTTTGAGGAGTTTGATGACATTGTATTTCCACTTCCAGGGTGAAGTTTTTAACAAAACTATTTGAATTATGAATTTATGATTCATAGAATTACTCTTTTCTTGTCCATTTCTTTTTCAATTTGAATGCATTATATGGTTATGCTTGCAATCCTTCCTTTAAGACATGGCTTTTTGAGTCTTGAATTTTACAGAAAAAGATAAAGACAGAACAAGGAATGAAGCAACTGAATCCACTTCTGAAGTTTCTGTGGAAGATGCTTCTAAAGCATTGCCAAGTTCTCCAAATGATGTGCAGGTTCACACAGTTGGTTGGAAAGGTGGGGGAATAGATGAGGAAACTTTGCAAAATGTGGAAACCTCTGGAGAAGTAAACATGGAGGTTTCTGTAACAGCTGAGGATGTTATTCAAGCTGGAGGCTTTGGAGCTAGGGATGACATAAGTAGTTTTCTTCCTGTTGCAAGTGACTGGACTGACTTTGAAGCTTCAATTCGTGATGCCAGGGACTATGAAGAACCTCAGGGAGAAGTACACAGGCCAGGTCTTGGCTGGAGAGAAACATCAGAAAGGGAATAGCTCTGTTTTTTTCACTACATAAGTGAGTTGTTGATTTAAAGTTTCTGGTATTTCTTTCTTGTGGCACCTTTTCATTTTCATAAGATAGACTATTGTGTTGTTTGGATTTGTCTATCTAGTGATATGTTGTCTATGGTAGCGTTATTTGGTATCTTGAAGAAAAGAGGATGCCAGACATGACTATATCAGTATAATATTTATGCTTCTGTATAACATGCTTAAAATGCCCTTTGTCAGGCTATATTATAAGTTCTTTGTACAAGGCACTTTTGTGACTGCGGAATATTTCCATTTATCAACAAAATTTTCTAATAACCAACCGCTTTCCTATCTTGCTTAGGAGTGTTATTGATGCTGAATAACAAGTGGAAATATTAATTGGCTGTGATTTATAGGTTTAGGCAAGAACGTTCTGTATGACTTTAGTGCCCTCTGTTTAATATATGGCCTTGGTGAGAGGCTGTGTCATGAGATTGGTATTGCCTTTTGGAAGATTCTCTGTCCAGGAGCAAGGATTGCCAGAGGGTCATAGGCAGATTTTCTCTGCACAAACGTTTCCCACTGAGGACCGAAATGAGCTTGCCACTCATCTTGGGTGCTGTAATGGGGCAAATATTGCTTTGCCCCAAGCTGTGTCTTGGCACAGAAATCAAGGATACGTTGGTTTTGGGTCATAATGTGTTCTAAGCCATCAGTTCCTGTTGATGATGGGAGTGCTGATGATAGGAATGCCACCAGGTAGATTATATCTTCCTCTGGGGTAACCATAGATGTTCTATTGTTCCACCTGCAATGTAGAATGATAAACCAGGTTGAGAATATGGCATTTAAGAATTTCAAATGACAATTAGGTAGACTTTTTTTATCAAGTACTTCGCCTTGTTGACTGGGTAAATGAGGATAGGACCGTTACTGTTGTCTTTAACAATATTCCCAAAGACCTCTTGAGCAAAGTCGAAAATTCTGCTTTTGGGTATAAGAAGATTCAACCATGGATGAGGAACTTCCCATAATCCTTTGGATCTGAGTTTTATCTCAGACAAGTGCACTCTATCGAGGAATTCGACATAAGAAACTTCGGATAGAAAGAGAGTGGATGGCATATAGTTTAACTCTGACAATAAATTCTCAATATTCTGCAAAATGCAGGATAGTTAGTTCCATTGTATCAATTAAGCGTAGGGGGGGATTCTTGAGCATGCTTGTAAGTTTTTCTGGTCAACATTTACCTTCAAAATATCTGTCTCCTCAGGGTTGAAGTATTTAGCCATTTCTAGACAGTAGAGTATTTTTCCATCTGAACTGAATTGGCTTGCTTGAATTGGGTCTTTGGGATTGAAGGAAGATCTCCAGTTGTTGAGGAGACCAGTTCTGTTGATTATCACAAACCCTTCGATGTAGTCAAATGAATTCTCGGATGATATTAAATGCTCTTGGTCATTGGAGAATGCAGAGAATTCAGAGTAAAGCACCCTGATCCATTTCACCTGTTAATAATGAGCAAAGCATGTTGGAAGGGTAATTTATGGTGATAGAAGCCAAGTGTCTTTCAGTAGCACAGCTAAGAGAAAGTTATTTGTTGTTTTGCTTACCATCTTTCGTGCTGGTGCAAGAGATATTCTAGCCCGGGTGATGATGCCAAATTGCCCTAGTCCCCCAAGAACACCATAAAAGAGGTCAGCATTCTGCTTGTCTGAACAGGTGAGCACTTCTCCCCTCCCTGCATCCAAAGTCCAAGTTAGGTTCATGTATTGTTTTTCTATCTGAAACTGAATTTTGGTTCAACTGTTTATTTTAAGTCTGCTAGAAGCAGCTCTGAAGGGGTATAGATGTCATTTTGCCTAAAAATAAAACGGAGTAACTACATTACCATGCTTTTTTTTTTTTTTTTGACGAAATGACTGAAGCTGTTACTGGAGGCAACCTGTATAAAATTGTCTCAAGGATTTTATAAATAGTTTTGCTTGAACGTACCTGTTACGACCTCTAGTTGGTAAACGTTATTTATCTGGGGTCCGTGCCGAAATGCCTGACCACTAATTCCGGCATTTGATAAAGTACCTCCGACAGTTAGGTGAAGGTAGTCTGTCCAAGACTTAGGTGAAAGTCCATAATTAAGAGTCTCATGTAGGATGTTAATCCACAACTCACCACCTGAAACATCCACATAAGGCACCTCACCTGTTTGAACATGCATGCTTGGTCGTTCAAGTGATTCCATGTTGATAACCACACCTTGATAGGCTTGGGCCGACCTTGGAGGGAGTGACCATGCCCTCTAGCCGCAACTGCTAACCTCGTCCCAGAAGTCATATGGAAGATGTGCTTTATTGTGGAAGAAATATCAGAAACCGATTTTGGATGTAGAACTGCTATCGGGAGGTAGTGGTATATGTTACCGAAGTCTTTCGCTGCATGTTCAATGTTCTCAAATCTGAAGTAGCCATCTAGAGCAAGTGATTTCAAAGACAAAGGAATACTGGCGGAACCTGAATGCGGTGGAATGCTTAGGGTGTCCAAAGTGTGGTTAGAACAAAGGTTGGTTCTACCAGGGATACAGCTCAAAACCAGAATCATGAAAAACCGAAGGAATATAACGTTGTTTTGTTTGAGACAGCCACAAGCTGGTGACCCCATCTTCAGGATATGTTTATGTGTATCTATTTTTGTATGCGTGCGTGTGTGTGTGTGAGAGAGAGAGAGAGAGAGAGAGCTTGTTGATATTCTGCCGGTACAAGCTAAAGGAGAGGTGTAGGAGAGCCCATGGAAATGAAAGGCAGAGGAGAATTTAAAGGGGAAGGTTTATGGTCAAACAGTCGTATTCTTCTGTGGTGACTCCAAACAATCTACTGCCTCGTGTTGATTGTGCGTCTGCTTAGTTTGGGCTTTCCTTCTGCTTTCCTTTTCGGTTTCTAAAAAGTTGAGATAAAAAAAGCAGGAAAAGGAAATGGAGATATCACATATCTTTGGTACTTTCTCACAGAGTTACAACTTACAACCACATAGTCTGGCTTTTTCTCTTGCAAACTCTTTTGAAGATGCTATTACCACTTAAAGCAATGATAACTGTCACGGTGTGGACTTGTGCTTCATGCTTTGTAATTATACGCTTGTCTTGTCTCTCTTGAGTTACGTATTTTTGTATGCTTGTACTGTTGCTGTCTGCCTATTCTACAAAAATAGGATTTCCGGATCGACGGGCTGGCCCCTACTAGGATTCATTCTGTTAGAGGGGAGGTGGTCGTTGGGCCGTTGTGGGTCCCTAAGCACATGAATTTCATGAGGGTGTGCTTGTGGGGAACCTGGTACAGCTTCTTGACTCTGGTACGACAGAGGCTGGCTACATGAATTTGTCAATGAATAATAGTCTGATGGAAACATATGCACATATCATTACATTCCAATTTGAGATTGAATTCAAGGCCCTAATGGAAAATCCAACTGTGTTAGGCAAAAGTGCTGCAGCTTGTGTCCTGAAAAAGTAGCTCGACATGGAAACTCTTATCAGTTCAAGTTTTCTGTTTCACTCCAAAGCAGGGAGCTCCAAGTGGCCGACTGGAGTGTTAGATTTGTGCATACTGTGCCATCTGCTGGAGAAGTGTAGGGGCCGGGCCGGGGGGGTACCTGGTCCATCAGAATTCAGAAAGGTAAGAGGAAGAGTGGAAAGTTGACATATGAATGGCAGTTTGAATGGGGGAAACACTAAAAAAAGTCTAAACCTATCAAATAGATTGGCCTTGGCGAGTCCCAGCAATGGGGCATCCCTAAAATGATTCTCCCTTTTCAGATAGATAGATGGATAGATATATATTATATATTCTAAATGCATCGCCATTTGTGCCAAAAACAAACTACTATTTTGGAAATTATTACCCCATTTACTCCTCTTTTTTCTTTTTCCATCCATTGTTGATTGTACTTGATAAGCACCCATTTGCATCCAGCAGCTCTTTTGGAAAACCATTCGGATGTCACAATTTTCTTTTCATTATTATAATATTTTGTATTTAGTCATTTCAAACGTTGGTCTGTTCTTTTGGCTTGTATATGTGTCTTTGATAATTGCCTTGTCCTAATTATTGAGGTCAGTGATGAATAATTTACTCTGAAAAACTCTCACCCCATAGGACTCCAGCTTTCAGAGCGGGGGGGCTAGGAAAGGACGCAGCGTATTTTGCACCATTCATTGTTGTGCTGCGGCAAAAAGCATTCGCTTCAGCAGCCTGTCTTAAGGTCAATTTCCATTGTTTCTACCAAACACAATTCATCCTTAATTCCACATTTATAACAAACTCATATCATATTCATATGTTTCGGATTACTTTTTGATGCATGATTCTCTCTCTCTCTCTCTCTCTTGTTTTAATTAATGATTTTGATAACTTTTATCATACTCATCATATGTTGATATTTTAACCTATCGATTTCTTTTAATTGATAACATAAACATATATTGCTCATATTTTAACGTTTTAATTATTTTATTCGAATTCTTCATATAGGTGCTATTGAGTCAAATGTTTTTATCCCAGTATTTTAACTTGGGGATTTCAATCAAAGAGTGATTGCATGTTTAGGGAACAATGTGTATTTATGGAATACAGTAGATGTAATCAACAAGTCATTCTCCACAAAAAAGGCGCAACTGTAGTTGATCTTTTGGAAATGAAGGGTGATATCATCAACCAGCTCTTGGCTGAAAATGGGGTACTTGCCTTGATGACAAACACAATATGTTGGCAGGATAGTGTTCCACTCATTCGCTGTTTCTTCCCTTGAAAAAACATCCTGATACATACAAAGCTCCTTCGAAAACATTTTCATGTTCAGTCGTCACTTCCCAAAAGTGCATTGATGTGCTCTTAATTATATACCATATCAAAATATTCTTGCAATTATTTACGCTCAGCATGCATCATGATAGGTTCCATCACTGAAGGCACTAGAAATTGGGAATTGCAGTCAAGAAACTCTATCTTGAGACACAACTCAACTTGGCACTGGAATTGAACAATTTTTGGAGGAAAAGGGGATAAGTGAAAATTCAAAGATTGTTACATATTTACATGTTTTGTTCTTTCACATAACATATAAAAAATAATTCATCTGGAAAAGTCCCAAGATAAAAGAAAAAAAAAAGATTTGAATCTTAAAGTTTTAATATCTAGAATAAGATGTAACTTTGAATTGCATAGGGTCACTCACAAAATGAGAGGTAAACTTCCATATCTATTTTTTTTTTTAGAAAAAAAAAACTTGTACAT